CTCTCTCTCTCTCTCTCTCTCTCTCTCTCTCTCTCTCTCTCTCTCTCTCTCTCTCTCTCAACTCGTTGCCAGAAGGGACGACGATCATTCTCACTTTCGAAAGTGAGCATGCAAGAGTAGGTACGCGCGCGTGGCTCTGTGTGCGTGCCACGATGTCAGTGGCCTCCACGGTGGAAAAGAGGCGAGTCGTTAATTAGCATTCGAGGCGAGCTCGCCTTCGCGTCTGCCCCACGCGTCGTCGTCGCCGTCGTCTCGACGGTGACCGTTGTGTACCCATGATAAATCGAGAAGAGGTTTCATTCACGATGATTTATCTGTGAACCCACGAGAAAATTAATCTTGGAATATTTCGTTTTATTTTTCGATTGGATGAACATATTTGGATTAATTGAAAGATAAAAATATTTTTAAAATGCATTGGATATATTGATAAATTTGCATTAAAAAATTGCAATCGCAAATGCTATTTCGAAAGTCTTTTGATTAATATTACTGAATCTCTCAATTGTGAACTGAAATAATAAGATTTTAATTATTAATTTAAATCCTTTTACCTCAATTTTGAACCGAAATACTATCTTAATTACTCTTATTTAATTACTCTTTATTACTAATTTAAATTTTTTAAAATATTCCATGATACTAATTTAATCTTACTCTTTGAATCTTTCAATTATATAAATATTTGTATGTAAAAATGGAATTGAGATAAAATCCGTCGAAACATTATTTTCTCTACTAAATCTTTTAAACTTTCATAGAGTTATAACACTCTGATTATTAATATTCCATAATATTAAACTTATTCATTCAACTCTACCTCTTAGATGAAAATCTCTGCACAAATATGCATTATAACATATACTATTTTATCTCTATCTTCAGAGTATATTTCATTTACACAATCTTTTTATTTGGACAGCCCTCTGCAACGACGACGCGAATGGGAACGTTCCCCTGGGCAAATCGTGCAATCGTTACTGGCAATGTCAAGGTGGATACCCGCGATTGCAGAGATGCCCCGCGATGCTGGTGTTCGATCGAAGGTCGCTGAGGTGCGTCGTCCCGCCCACCGAAGACTGTGACGTACCCACGACCCCACCCAACCTCGAGGGCGATCTGCCCGATGGAAGGAACGAGCAGGAAGCGGAGGAAGAGAATCTTCCGCCCGGTGTTCCGCCATTGCCGGCCGGCGCATTGCCCATACCGCTTCGA